TGCTGAGCTCCCGGGGACAGGACTCTGAATGCTGATATGCCAGCAGCAGATAGTGGTGCACACATGAACCGGCATAGAGGGAAGACAGGGGCAACATGGGGCCGAAATCTCAGCCCGACTATGCAGGGCAATATGTTTTGGCTGCTTGACATGGCTCACAGTGCAGAGAAACAAGGAATGCAGTGCAAGTGTTCGTTTAAGATGTATTTCGAGCTGCTTTGCATCATTAGGACAGCAGAAAGCATTCTGAGTATGCCAGCAGATCTTTTTGTATTTCTGCTCTTTAGCATTGGCTAGAGCAGAGAGGGAAACACATCCCATCCCCCTCATCCCCATTCAGCTGCCCAGCTTGGTGGGAGGATAGAAGCCCTGGGGGGCAGCGGGGGCAGCCGCAGTGCACGCAGGCAGTTGTGCACCTCCTCGCTGCACACCCCAGCTGTTGCCAGCAGGGAAGATTCAATAGCCCAAAATTCTGGCAAATTCAGCATCCAGACTCACGGATGGGCTTACGCCAGCTGTGCCGGAGCATGTGCGGCTGCAGTTACCCTACTAATTGTTTTCAGGCTGATGAGATTAGAGCTGCAGCCCTAGCATCGCTGGATCGCCAGAGTAGCTGATGAGGCTGAGACACCCACAGCTTTGCTTCGGCTGGGGCTTTATGAAAGTGCTCTCCCAAGGGAAACTGAATCACTCAAGGTCTGTCTTATTTAAAATACAGGGTTCCAGGAGTGTCAGTCCCCTGGCCACCTCTTGAAAACAGGACTCTCTTCAAATATTAATTCAAAATTCCCCACTGGATCAATGTCATATGTGTGATTACATTGTAAAAGGCTGGCACACAAGACGCTGTTAGGAAATGGAGTGCTGTCAGCCCGCAGGCATTTTCATGTATTTCACAAGGGAAAAACCTTCTTTGAATTAGAGGCCAGACTTACGCTGTCTTTCAAGTCACATGTGGGATCTTGGAGGGAACATGCGATAATAGAGCAGAGGCGCTTAGCAAAGTTCATTTCGCTCTGCAAAGCAAAGCAGCCTCTGTAACGAGCAGCGAGCGCCAAGGTAGGTTTCCGAGATGCCTAGGGAAGGAGTGTGGGTAGTCATTACTCAAATACAGATCAGAAGCCAGCTAGGTACTTTCCATCCACACAGCCTGTAATGGTATTTATAAAGGCACTGGAGAGGCGCAGTGGCAATTAAAATACATTAGGCTTAAAAAGACAAAATGTACGCCATGGAAACAAATAAATGATTAAAAAGCTAAGACGCAAAGTACAGAAAGCAGCAACAGAGGAATCAAACTCAATTAGCTCCTGGTCAAAAAAAAAAAGAAAAAAACAGGAAAAAAAAGAAAAAAGCACTGCAGAGGCTAAAGATGTTGCGATAAATGAAAAAATGAGACCCCAGTATCATCATAGGCTACGATGGTGAACACTGCCAGCTGCCGGAGACAGCAGCGGTAACAAGGAGAAGAAGTGCTTCAGCGCAAGGCTTTGCCAGCTGGCCAGCAAGCAGGAGAAAGCCAGGAGCGTTTGCCCGGGCAAGGGTGACCCACAGCTCCAACCTCTGCTATCGGGAGCAGCCGGAGCTGGCACAGCCCCTGCCCTCCGCACGCCGCCGGGCTGGGGCTGGGGCTGCCCTCCTGGCAGGGGCTTTGGGTCACTGGTGTGTCCCCAGGGGCCTGGTCCTGCATGGATGGACTGCGGCAGGCTTGTCCTGCTCCTTCCTCCCACGCGTTTCTCTCTCTCTGTTTTACATCAGTGTCAACAGGAGGACAGGGTAGAAAAATGTAGATAAAGCCTGTTACAACAGAGCTGCCTTCTACCACACCTTCTTGAATGATACCCCAGAAAGTCAGGAGCTGCGTGAAACTATCACTGGCAGCATCTACAGCCATTCCTCCTCAGGTACCATAAACGCAATCAAGTCTAGGCCTTCGGGGGATAAAAAGAATTGCCACAGAGTTCGAATGGGAATTTTCCCTTTGTCCACACAAGGTGTTGCACAACAGACCAGGCTGTACTATCAGTTGGTTTTTGCCCCCTGTACAGCTCTCGGTTCCTGCCCCAGAGAAGCTGTTTTTGACTTCCACTGCAAATAACTTTGGACTGACAAGGCACGCCGGGAAGAGCCTGCACACAGGCAGTGCTTTTTTCACATTGCCTATGTATTGTCCAGTGAAGATCAACAAATACATGCCTGCTGCAGAAATACCGACGCAAAGAGTTTTTTACTGAATCAAAACAAACCTCGAACAAAAATCCCAGCTTATCAAGCAAGTAAATGAACCACCCTGCCCCACAGTTTTTCCTCCTTAAAGAACAGGTCTGCAAATGAAAGTACGTGATTAAAACAAGATCTAAATTGTGAAATCTTTCGACTTCAAGCAGAATGCACAATACTTAGTAGGAATAATGTTGCTCCTGCTGCCTTTGCTCCCTGTAAGGCAGGGAGACGGGCTGAGACTGCAGCATCTTCAGCAACCCCATATGAAAGTACCAGAAAATGCAGTGTCTGGCAGCGGGGATGCCTGCTTGGTTATTCTCCAACAGAGCACCCAGACTGACAGAGATAAAAGGTTTGAGCAGGTTCCTGAAATGCTGTCATGGCACAAATAAAGTGTATGCCAAGCGTTTCTATTCCTTTTTAGAACGATTTCTTAGTGTCAGGTAACTTGCCGTACAGTTGCCATCTCTGATGAATTTCTCTTGTGCTGTTTTTGCAGTATGAATGGGATGAAAACGAGCTCTTTTTGTTCAAATCATCCATTGCCTATGCCATGAGAAAATACTTTGCAGAGGAGAAACAGCAGGAAGTTGACTTCCAGTGAGTGGATTGCTTAATTGTGCTGGCTATGCCTATATTGCTTCTGGTTCGCTAGCGGCATGAATTGGTGGAATTAATTGTGCCTTCTGTCAAATGTAAGGTGACGGCAAACAATGTCAAACATCAGCTGGTTGTAAAAGGCAAGTAGCCAGCTTGGTTACATGCTGTCTTTTCACTCAGGAGTCTGACATTGAAGAGTAACGTGCTAAAGTTAGGTAACTTCAGTGGATGCAGAAGGCTCTGTCTCCCATGGCTTATCAGTGGTGCAAGTGAGCCTTGAGAATTGCACCCAACACCTACATGGGAATATCAGGGAAGATACATTGATTAGAAATAAAAATTTATACCAACGTATGTGCGTGATACTAAATATCCAAGAGGTTTTGGGCCCATGAAAGAAAAACTTATTGATTATAAAGCACTAGAAGTCCATGCAGACTTACTAATCTTATCTAGGTTCACGTACAAACAGAAAATCTATCATCTGAAATTGATTTTGGTAAAAAAACAACACTTTTTATGGGGTCTCTTCAAAATTTTCAGAAGGTATCTACTTAAGCTATTTCATTTTACTTTGTAGAACATCAGTCGTGTAATCTTTAAGATCTATTCCCAGCAGAAAATAAGGAAGAAGATTTTTTTTTTTCACTTGGTACTTCATACATCACTTCATTCATAAGATTTGCCCCAAACACTCAAAAGGCTCCAAACAATTTCTGTTGTGCAGCTGATTACGTGCTTTGGAAAATTACTCCAAGGCTTGTCTTAGGTATGGAGTAGACTCTCTCCATCTCAAGCAATGAAATAGCACATTAAAAAAAAGAAACTCTGACAGGAAAATTGATTTCGCTTCCCAGTTGAGGTGACTAGGAAGCATTCACTGAGCATAAACTAACCCCCTGGCATTGCTGGTCAAACACAACTGTTCACATGCCTGAATTTAAAGCTAATATCATCTCAACAATCAAAATAACCTTTCTTTTCTGTTTCTCATTCAGGATTACAGACGTTCATGTTCAGGAACAGACACAAAGGATCTCCTTCTACCTTAGTGTCAGCATGCCAGGTAATAACAGTGATCTTGTGCCCAAAGCTGACCTGGAAAATGCCATCAGGTGAGATTTTGCTCTCTGGGGAAACAAAAGCAACCAACCAGATGAAAGGGTGGAAGGGAAAGTGGTTCTCAAGTCAGCTGAGGCAGAAGGGTTAATGAGATAGTCTGTTCTGCAGTTAGCGTGGAAATAGCGGGATGAGAGAAACTGTTATGACAGAAAGAAGACAGTCCATCTATCTCATGGTGTCTTGGACAACAGCCAGTGTAAAACACTTCAAGGGGCTTGTAAAGCTGCCATAACACACCTAATTGCATCATACCTTGCCAGGAAGTATCATTGCTCAGACTTTAATGGGAACTAGCTAATATTCTGAAATCCAGGGCATGGTAACAGTGTGTGCATGCACGTGTGTTTTATTCCTCTCATTAGTGAAGACTCAGTGCAAGAATTATTGTATAGCAAGGACTCCAGAATAATGATGTATTAGAAAGACAGCTAGATGTCTTTGATTATACAGAATAGAAGAGGTCAGAGCAGGAGCTAGTTCCTGTTTACGGGTCAATGGAGAGATCTTTTATAGCACAGTATGACACCACTCTAAGTCATTGCTGTAGAAATGATAAGTAGAACTGCAGCTCTGCAGATGGTCACGGCTAATGTACAGTGGGAAATGAAGAGGGCACAAATTTAAAAGCAGCAGCAACATGAGGCGGAGTTGAAAAAGCAGTCAGAGACCCTGGTGAACCAAGGGAGAAGAATAAAGCTACGAAAATCAGTGTCCGGTTAGCACTCAACAGCAGAAGCAGAAGTTCAGGGAAAAACAAGGCACAGAAAATATACAGAGAAAGGGTTTTCAGGGCAGTGAAAAACACAAGACTCAAAACTGTGGAAGACTGTAGAGAGGAAACAGATATTCTGTCATATCCAAGAAGCTTATGGATAGCCAAGAAACTTGCGGTAATGAGGGTTAAAATGCAACTAGAGAGGGAGATCAGAAGGCTGTTTGCCTCATTTTGATAAATGTTAAGACTGAGTTTAAGAATTCATACAGTGTCTGAAGATGTCAGTTAAACTGCGACAGTTAAGGGTTTAAGTTACTGTGCTTGTCACCCACCATCCCGTGCCAGAAGAAATATAAGAATAGCAGTACCATCTGTGCAGCCTTTTCAACTGAGCAGTTCAGGGGAAGCTTGGCACACTGGAGATTTATAAAATAACTGAAAACTGTTTATTTCCTTCCAATAAATGTGTGAAAGTCTTTGAATTTGGTTTTGATGGCAGGATGTCTCGGGGGCGAATCAATGAGGCTTTCAGACTGGATGATAATACGCTGGAGTTTGTGGGCATATATCCAACCTTGGCCACACCTTATGAACCACCAGTCACCATCTGGTTAATTATATTTGGGGTGGTCATTAGCCTGGTTGTCATTGGAGTTATTGTCTTGATCATCACTGGGCAGAGAGATCGAAAAAAGTGAGTAACATTTTTGATACTATGATCATGACCACTGGGAGACGTCCCAGTGACTGAGTCGTCAAGGTGCTTATGAACGGGTTGCCAAATCTAACCGAAGCAAGTTAAGGAATTAAAGCTTACTATCCTCCTCCCACCAGCAGTGATGGCTAAAGGTTCAGCTCCCTGCTTTTCAGTGCAAGGCAGCTTTGGCAGCTTAGTGCAATTTCTACATCATCAGTAGTTTAACCAAAGCAGCTGGACACTGTCACCACAGGGAGCCGTGGCGTGGCCAGGCTTCTGCCGTCCCCTCTGTGAGGTGGATGGAGTGGCCTGCAGGGAACACAGTGCCTGCTCCAACAGCAGAGTGTGCCCACGTAGAGCAGTACCTGCCGTTTTCAATAATCTTTTTGGAGGTTGTCCAGTAATGTCATTTTCCTTAAATATTACTGCATTAACAGCAACATAGCTGGGCTGGTTTTCTATGGCTCTCCATTAATGGGGTTTCTAAGAACGTAGTAGGTTTTTTACAGTTCCCCCTAAAACCGACACAATTCCTTTTGGTATAAATATCCCCACTTAAGCACAGTATTATTTACAATAGTTTCTTTTGTGGATGCAGAAAGACTTGAGCAGAACAGGGGCTTCTAATATAAAATGAATTTTTATGACAGGAAAGCAAGACAAAGTGGGAGTGACACGGGATCAAACTGTGATGAGGTGAACCCTTACGCTGAAGAGGGAAAAAGCAACATGGGGTTTGAGCCATCTGAAGAGACACAAACATCATTCTAGAAGACGCTAAGGGTTTCTGTTTTTTTTCATTCAACTTCTAACAATAGTGCCTAGCAAGGACCTAAACACGATGGATGTCATCAAACATAATGCCTTCTGGTTGACCATTAATCTACTGGTTCCTAGACAACAGCAACTAAATCTGCTGGTTTTGTGGTAACTAGAAAACACGCAAAAATTGAAGATATGTATGCCCTGTGGCTTTTCTATGAATTACATCCATAATATTACACACCATTTGTGCTGCTTTTCGTAAATGTGCTGCATCCAACTTCTCTTTGTTTCCTCTGTAATGAGATACAAAATCTTGGAAGTATAGAGTTATATACAGATCAAGACAGATATAAGAACTCACATACTCCTAATGCCTGTGAAGAACAACTTGATCCTTACAGATGGAGACCTCAAAAGTGTATCTAATAGACAGTGAGAAAAAAACCCGACCATCAGAAGAACCTTAGTGATGAGGAACTCAATTTGATATGAAATAACTGCAATTTTTGCACCTTCAGGAAATCTGTATCAATGTAAAATGGATGCTGAATGAAGACTAACAAGCATTGGAACTTTATCAGGAAGTTGTAACATACATTATTTTTCTAAATGTTTTCTTGATAAGTATCGTTGAGACCAAATAGCCCATGCCCCCTCAAAAAAAAAAAAAAAAATTAAAAAGTCTCTGTGTTATGTTGTCATCTAAGAATGGAATAAAATTCCTTAATACTAAATGATCAAAGTTTGGTTATATTTTTTTCAGTACCTTAGCTGTTGCCTCCACTATTACAAATACTGCATTACCAATACTGCATACTACAAATACAAATTGCACTGTTACATACAGGGAGCAGCAGATCTTGGCTTAAGAGGTTCAGGTTGCACCTGAAAAAGAAAAGCTGTTCACAAGCAGGGTAGTGCAGCACTGGCACTGGTTACCTATTCTATGCTCTGGGAGAGGCTGTGGGATCTCCACCTTTAGCAATGTGCAGGGCTCAGTTAGACAAAGGTATGGCTGATCAAGCAGTGGGGACAGTCCCATTCTGGGTAAGAAGTTTGTCTCTATGACCTCCAGAGGTCCCTTCCAGCAAGCATTTCCGTGATTCTGTGTCTTGTAGGTCCTGTGGCATACCTGCCACCACGTCAGTGCAGTTGTTCTGTGCACACCAGGGTTACTGAAAGGCACAAGGTGTCTCCTCAGTCCTGCGTTCCAACAGACAGTTGGGAGCAGACACGAGCCTGCATGAAAAACGTTCAGCAAATCCATGGACTCTGGAACTCATGGGCCTCCAAAATTGTTAGAAACCACAGAAAGCAGTCAAGCACATACCTGAAAGCATACGGCTGGACTCTGTGAGTTCACAAAACACTATCCTAATGCTCCACATTCATTTGCTATTTAAGATTTAAGACCCTTAAATGAGACAGTTCAAAATGGCAGGCAGATGATACTGATTAAATGCAAACTAGGCAGGAATGTAGAGGAATGAAAATAATTTTTCTTAAAGTTGCCTGCCTACACCACATATCCCATTGCCATAACTTCCCCAAACTTTAGTACTTTAGCTGAACTTTTACGATAAATAATTTAACTGCATGTGGTCTTCCCATTTGTCATGCAGTAACAGAAAAAGAGAATGGCAAAGCTGGAAAGAATCACATAATGTAATTAGTCACGCCAGCCATCTTCAGATCTGTTGTTAAGATTAACATTTCTATTAAGGCAAAACTTTAGTTTCAAAGCAATTAATTTTAAAAGCTGTGCTATGAATCAAAAAACACCATTAGGAATTGTCAACACAGAAAGCCACTAAAAAAAATACAGCAGTATGTTGGAAGAACAGAAGTAAAAAGACAGCATTTATACTGAAAACATCATCCGCATGCATTAGCCCCAACAGCACCTCACACCCTCTGTGCTGAGGGGGCTCAGCCCACCCTCCTCTCATATTTTGTCTGTGTCAGCACTCCTTCCCGACCCTATCCCTGGCCCAGCTTGATGCAAGGGCAGCATCATACCGTGCCCTAAACCTCCCTCATGCACAGCCTCCCATGGCCCCCCAGGCCTGTGCAGCTCCCCACACCCGCTTGCGTGTCCCCAAAAGCTGCTCTCCCTGGAACACGTGGGCAGCTCCCCACGTAGCCAGGGATGCCCTCTGCTAGCCAGCTTCTGGAGCTGGGACCAGACAATGCCAGCAAGCACGGGCACCGGAGCCTCCGGCGGGCCAGACGCCTGCGTTTCTTTCTCCCCTCTCCCCACACGTCTGCACCTGGTATTTCTCGCTCCCCAGGTTCAGGGGAGCTCAGGCTGGAGCTGCAGAGGGGTCCCTGCTAGGGCTGGGCCAGCTCCCCCAGACAAAGGGCAAGTGGATGTCGCTTGGACTCTTGGAGGCATCACGCGCTGAACTAGCTCAAATATAAGGAGAGAGGATTTTTTTCAGACCTTACTTTATTTTAAACCCCCTTTACACATATTCGATCAGCATTTTACAAATGTCAGTGTCTAAGTTTAGACACCTCTGTTTTAGTTATGCAGCTTCAGATGGATTTGGCATCTCTAGACTTACAGAAGTTAGCACTAATTTGTGCAGTGCTATGGACATTTGAAAGTTGGGTGCTCTTATTTAAGTGTTAACATCAGAAGCCAAATGTCAGCCCCTCAGCAGTAAAATATTTGGCTAAGCAATTATATTAAAACCATTTTCAGTTCTCTTCAAAGTTTTGCTCTTCAGTTTTTATAGATACCAGCAAATTTGCCATTTACTATTGTAATGACTATGGAATTCTGCATAAAACTTTTTTTCTCTATTTTTACCTGTAGCAGGAAGCAATAACACTCCAGTAAACACCTCATATGTAGCTAAGTTGCAAATGTCTTAGATATGTATCTTAGAATAAATTCCAAATCAAATGTACACCCTGAGGGCTGAAACTAAAGTCAATAGTACTGGTAAGCAAACTGATATGACATTTTACCAGTAGTAATTTCTAAGTAACTGAAAGCGAGACTACAACTATTTGTGTTGCTGTCACTTGCAGCAATTCTAAATTTGACTTCGGGCATCAGATTCAAGAGATTACAAAGAAAAAAACACACTCAGATGAGTTATGATAATCAGAAAAGTTAACAGACATATATTTCCCTGTTTACACTTCCAGTTAAGGCCAAATAATGACAGCTTGGAAGCACCGAAGGAGCATACAAAATTGGTTTATATATCTCAATGTCTGAGAAGTCCTTTGAGACAGTGCTAACAAAATGAATTACATTGTTCCACAGTATCCTTCCAAATTCTGTCACCCGCAGAGTGTCACAAAAGCTTTCTCCATAAGCTTCTTCGTCAACTCCCTGATTAAATGAGAACACCACCAACATACAGAATAGTAGGGGTGGCTAATAGGCAGATTTCATATTTAGCTCTTGTACAGAAGACAGATGATAAGGAACCAGTATGTGCAGTCATATGTTTGTGAATCTTCTTTTTCAAGCTCTGTTGTCTTCTCTCAGTGCCTCAAAAAATGATAAGAGCTGGTAAAAGGCAGGGCGTTTTTCTGGTAGCTAAATGAAGTAAAGATGATGGGCATAGTTATTTAATTTTTAAACCACTCAGGAACTGTAATTTGCATTAATTTTTCTTAATTTTAGCATGCAGAAATTTGTAGAGACAGTGATGGTTATGATGTGAAGAAAATTGAAGTTACTTTTTACATATTTCTTATGTTGTGATAGTTTAACCTTATTTCTTTGCATTAACATGTCCCCAAACATGAGTTATTTTCTTCATTTTTCTGACAATTATATCTAAAAAACCCCAAATATCACTGATATTTCATGGTATCACCAGTAATACGCCAAACAGTTCTTTGCTGCTGCTGAGAAACAGATCATGGTCCACAGACAGCTGGTGAGAATTTAGATGAAGAAGAGCAATAAATCAGGACAGATCTTGGCACAGCAGACACAGATCTTTCAAAATAAAATGAGCATGATCAGCATTTGACTTACAACTCCTAGAAGACTCACAGATGGGGTAACACATTCTTCCCACTCTAAGGGTGGGGTTATTTCAAGTAACATCAGGTATCTAAAAAGGTAGAGATCTCATCTAAATTAGTTGTTTAAGATCCCTGTATATGAAAGCAGATGTCTTTTATTTCATGGTGGCTAAAACAAAAAGAGCAAATGACCATGGAGAGGTACCAGTGATAGTCCTGTAATTTTGGAAGGAATTTAGACAATTAGGTTAGCTCAGCAGTCAAATTTTAAACCATTAAAATTAGGTGAGCAGAATCTCACCCCGTATATTATGTTGACGTTGAAGGGTATTTTGCACTTATTTGCTTAAATACGTGGTTCTGAGGACAAGGGAGTCAATTTTCCTTTTTGCCTTCTTTCCTGTACTAAAAATGTCCTGAACTAGGCTGCTATAGAATATGTACTACATACAAGCAATGGCTTTTATAAGGGATATTTTCCACTATGAACATTAATTCAGCTATCAACAGTGACTCCTAGTGACTCCTATTATTTGGTTTCTCCAGTCTGCACGTGCAGATATACATACCTCATGCCAGCAGTTGTACATCATCTGGTAGATGATGTCTGAAACCAGCTGTGGTCTATAAAGTCTGTATCCTTGAGAAACTTTCTCAATCACCTGCGTGTTATCGTAAAGCTCATAGGGCTGCTTTCCCAGAGTGAACACCTCCCACATTAAGATACCTGAAAAAACATTTACAGCAATGGAAGACAAGAAAAAAAAGTAAAGAAATGCAAGAGAACCTTTTTTTCCAGAACAAGACACACATGCAACATGTAACTCATCAGCCTTTTTAAAGATAATATTATCCAAAGAAAAGTATGGAGATGACTGAAAAATGTGATTTTTGTACCCAAATGTGAAACAACTTCTGCTGCAGTAGAAGGTGAAGTTAGATTATACAGTTATTTATGAAATATTTTTAATGTGGATAGTAAAGGATAAAGCCCAAGACATAGCAATCCA